ATATATTTCTTTTAGACAATGACCTTGCGTTTGTTTATAAACATTGACCTATATCTTAAAACAATTTGTTTGAAATCATATCATTCGATACACGTGACAGTGTTAAATAACAATAAACTTGACCAATTAAAAGTTAGTGTAAAATTGTAAGTATAGGCATAGAATCTGGCAAACTTGCAAACAAATAACGACGACCAATATTGATATGAATAGATGATACCTGTCATCTTGTGATTATGACCTTGTTTTCGATGTTACTTAAAAGTGGAAACGTTTTGAATTTTGCGTCAATTTTTTTCCAATATTGTTACGTTTGGCAGGGTATAATAGCTTGCTTATTGCATTAATACAAGTACTTCAAGTTCATATCAAGTACCTAATTAGTTAAAATTTTACACACACAGGAAATTAAAAAAAAAACTAATATTAAAACTCTTGCAAAGAACACCTAAACCTACTCGTATAAAAGCTTTTTATTTGTTAAAAAGATTGCCCAATTATGCTGGTGCTAAACAAGGTATCAATTTGGGGTACTTACAAAAAGTCCTGTGGCAACTGGCGACTGTCATGATACATTGTAAGCTTGTGGAATGGCAGACATATTAAGAAAGTTGTCGGACAACCCCGATTCGCGACACGTACTTCATAGAAGCACTTTTCTTGTACTATATCGACTCGTTTGATGGATTGGTGCAATCGAGAACGAAAACGTAACTCGTTTTTAGTAAAAAATATAAAAGCTAAGTTACCTATTTATTGGAAAAATAAATCCTATGGTACGCCACGTGACCGTTAATAAATTTGAAAGTTTAACAGCTTTTCAAGCTTCTTTGGAATTTCCCTTCACTTTTTATAACTCACTGCATAGATCATTTTTGCCCTGTAATATCACTTTTTGAAAATTAAGAAAAACCACTAGTGGTCATCTCATTAAGTAAGTAAGTACTTTAATGCCCGTTTTCTCCATCAATCCCTAATTTTCAAGGTACCCTTATGGTAACACATCAACAGGAATTTAGTTTTCAAAAGGGTCACTTTCTACGTCTATATACAATCGGTACGTATTGATTTACAAATTGTAATTAATTTAATAGCGACAACTGCTAATATCCAGCGTTATCTTTTCTCTTCAGTTCGAGCGAACCCTTTAATTACAAGATGGGACCAAAACTTTGAAGGCTTCTCGAATTTCAGAAGAATCTTTAGGGCCCACTTAGTAGTTTGATAGAAATAATTTGTCTTAGAATGGCGTCTTAACTTTTGACTTAAAAACTTTGCATAAAGAAAACTATTAATGATGGGTATAATGAGTTGTTAAAATTATTTACTTACGCGCTTTTATGGAACGGCCAATTAAATTACGAAGTTTATCGTTTGCGTTATATGTTTTAATAGATAGTAAACAATAAGCTATGTAATAAACTTGTTTTATTTACATCACTGATAGCAAAGAAAACTGCGTAGAATCTATGTAATTAGGTTATCTTAAAATCTGAACTCTTGTTCATTTTTAAACTTACGTATTTGTGCTTTATACCTTTGAAAAACATTTTTAAAAAGGTTTCTTCAAAATACTGAATAAACTAATGATGAAAAAACTTACTCATTTGAGTGACTGGAGCCAAGCTTTTACGAAATAATTTTTCTTTGTTTACAAACACTTCGCGTATTTAAATCAATTGAATGTTTTCATTTTCTTTTTCTCTTCGTCAAACGAGGAAGATGCAAAAAGACTTATTATTAAATTTATTGAATGTAAAGCTTATATTTCAATTGAATTGAAGAACGTTCTCAATGAGTCTTACAAAAATAGCGTGCCATTGTTTTTAATGATCGTGTATTTTAAGGGGCTATTCCCACCTCTCGTTCCCACCACTACTAATCCTGTGTAGCCAGGATCTACGCTTGACTGTCAACAAAAACCCAACCAGTGAAGGTCAAGTTTGTCCCGGAGGAAAGTTAAACTGTCATTGGACCCGCAACGAAATAATCAGAAGAACATAACAGATGAGTTCGAAGTTAAGGATCGACTTCCAGTGCAAAAAAGATGCCAGGTGAGAAAGAAAAGTTCAAGTAACCTTTAAAAAAAAGATACGGCCATAATCTTCTTTTGTTTTCGAATGATTTTAAATATTATTAGCTATTCAACATGCAAAAGGTTAAGGAATTAACATTGGCAGAAAAAAAACTTCCCACAGAGGAGGATTGGTTGCCATTAATTATTAAAAAAAAAGAAAAATATACGGCGATAATCGTGTTTTGTTTTCGAATGGTTTTAAATATTAGTTTGTTTAGTATTTTGCTCGCGAAAGTACTCGGATATCATTGCAGAAACTGGCCGCTTTGCCGGATCGAAAGCGCGCTGCTACGGTTTTTGCGAGAAGGCCACTGTATGTAGGGCTCGTAGCTGGTAAGACGGCATTGCTGGGACTTATGGCGTAGGTATCTACTACGACATTTCGCGTTTCGCTCAACGATACAACTCTACCAAAGTAGTGACACTAATGATAACTACGATATTGCATTTCTTGAGAGTTTAGACACGGATAGGATTTTGTTACGATTAAGTCTTGAGGTGTAGACTTTTTACATTAAGAAATGAATTCATGTTTACAGTTTTTTAAGAAAAGAGATGGTATTTCAATTCTATTTGCATAAGTAAATCACACAACCAATTAAATAGATAAACATCGTGCAATTAATATCAAACCAAATCTGTATTTTGTAACAATAGTATTTTTGAATCTAAATCCTACTAATATTATAAAGGCGAAAGTTTGGATGTTGGATGTCATGATGTCTGGATGTCTGGATGTTTGTTACTCTTTCACGCAAAAACTACTGAACGAATTTTGTTGAAACTTTACAGTATTATTGTTTATAACCCAGATTAACATATAGGCTATAATTTATGACGATAAGTGACAAATAAATTTTAATAAATAAATAAGACGTCTAAAAAGCGCCACCTATCGTCATTGGTTAAAATCTACGGCGCTGGACAAACTACTGTTTTTGACATTCGTAAATATTCATGCCGTGAAATGCCATCTATCAACATGATATCTAACGGGGTTAAAATGAGGTCCACGCGTACGAAGTCGCGGGCGGCCGCTAGTATTAAATAACTCAAAGGTGACTGACTGACTGACTGACATAGTGATCTATCAACGCACAGCCCAAACCACTGGACGGATCGTAGGCATCCGCTAAGAAAGGATTTTACGAAACTCCACCCCTAAAGGGTAAAACGGGATCCACGCGTACGAAGTCGCGGGCGGCCGCTAGTTATGTATAAAATTTTAATAGATTCACAAAATTCCTCGGACTCAAATTCTCCTAAACTATTCAGGAAGGTTACCGNGTTTACAGAAGTGTAGTCCAAGCCTAAGATAAACACGGAAGCTATAACTTAGAATAACAATTCAAGATAACTATTAATATAACAAACTGGACGTAAGTAGGTCACTATGTTCCCGTTTATCATAAGAATATTTTTTCTAGCAGTTATCGAATTTATTACCTAACATTGAGATAAATGTTTTATGAGCTTTTTGTTATAAGTAGGTTAATAAATAGTTTGGTCATTGTCTTGTTAATTGAAATGGGATTATTAGTACTAAACGATAGTTCAATTATTATTTATTAATACGTTTTATTTATAGAACATGATTCATGTAATGTAGTCACAAAGACACTTAAGTTCATTCATTTGTTTCTCATAATCTAAATGGTACAGTTAACTGGATGCTGGTGTGATTTACTATATTAATTTGTAATCATTATCAGAATATTGTTCAATGTTTATCAGTTCACAGAATGTCAAATTAATTTTGTTTAATTACACACTCGACATTCTCTTTCTCTCATTTTTTATAAAAAGTTTTAGGCTGGGTTGTACTATCTTAATTCAACTTTGACAAACATTAAAAATCTGTCCAACTCCATACAAAAAACACCAGTTATCGTTATAGTTACGGTCAAAGTTAGGTTGTGCACTCAGCCTTAAATTGTTAATAAATAAGAGGACCTTTTAAACCATTGATGTCTTATCACCATTTATTTATAGTAAAATCTTTTGGTGAAAACATTGGTCCTGAAATGACACAAAAATTCCTCCTACCAGAGGGCAATCTTCTTTGTGTCACTCCAAATCACGTTGCGTGTCTCAAAGCGCGAGATGAAACGAAAATAAAACTTTATTTGACAGACAACTTTCGTCAACAAGTGTTAAAATGTTTTATTGGTAAGTATAAATCTACTGACATGGACATGCCATTGCTTTTTTGGGGAAATGAAAGTTTTTTTTTAAGAAGCAAACTATTCACAAACTTTTTATATTGTCGAATGAGAGCTTTCTGGAATAAAAATATACCTTCACTCTTCAAAAATAAATCCTAAAATCACAAATTAAGTGATCCTAATCTAGCTAGCCTATGAACGATATTTATATCTCGTCAGATTAATGTGCGTTAAGGGTTGCTTAGGATCCACGAAATTGCTTAGGCAGCATCAAATAAATTCAGGATAACCGCCGTAGTCCAGATTTATTAGGGGACATCTGATTGTGATGTACAAGGGTTGTTGATGAAAAATGGTTATGGCGAAGTCGACTTATAAATAGACGCTAATCGATTAAGAGATTCCAGCTCCACTGGACCGAATGAAGCGACAATTACCCTATTATTTATATTCAAACACTCGAGTGAATTTCTTCTCAAAACCACTTCCTATTTACGCAACAAAATAATATTGCTTTAATTACACGCAATATACCCAATTCAAGTGGCGATGTTCGGGAACAAAGCGCAGATTGTATCTAAACATTAAAGCCGTCATAAGATTTTATTGTTGTCTACAGACAAGAAACGAGGGGCTATTTATTTGTCCCTTTTTATTACTGTAACAAATAAATTCCTTTTATTAACGCATCGCTTTTGTTTTAAAGATTTAATACGAATTGTGGAACCGTTAAAACACCGTCACTTGTCACAACAAACCTGGAGCACTAGGAACGCAATGTGACCGAAAGTAAATAAAATAGGTCTCGCGGAGTGAATTGGATGTTGAATCGCGGACGGGAGCGCGGGCGAGCGCTCCGAGCGTCGGGACTCGAATGCGGGGGCGAAAGCGAACCCACCACCGACATCTAGCTTTTCCCCCCAACACCCCCCACGCGCCCCGCACCCCTCCACGTCTGATAACCTGCTACTTCGGAAGTCACTAAACTCTACCATGAATGTTACCAGGCACCAGCCCGCTTGCGGAGGAAAATGCGATTTTTATTGAAAGGGCCGCTGTTGCGCCACTAACCTCTCTTTGTGGGAAAATCGATGCTTTATCTCCTATTAGGTGTTACTGAATCTAAGCGTCGCGGTCGACGCTGTCGTTTGAAACTAAACGCTTTGTAAAAGTGAAACCCCGTTAGAGGTCGGGCTAAAGTATCCGATAACGCTCAATTAAATTATATTCTACGACCAATTCTACAACTAAAGCTAAACGATATTTTGCACGTAGGCATTCAGATTTATTTTAATCTGAATTTAACTCAGTGTTATTGTTCATCCCTCATATAGACGCAAGTAATAAGAAAGTTTATTTCGAATAATATTACAAGTTCATTCATCTCATTATACCTAATGATTCCAGATTAACTTTAATAAAAGACTTTGCTGTTCCCAAATGTTATTAGCTTTTATTCCATTACTTACTCAAACCTACTCCTTATTTATCTAAACACGTGAGCTTAAGAAATCCAAACAAACTCGCGTGCAAAATTTTCGTTCCTTTTGTATTTTTTTATTAAAATACTGTTCATTTTATAATCTAAAAGAGGTTTGCTTTTTAACTTTAGGAGCTCATCTAATCTAGTCAATGAGTAGGTATAGGTTTTACGGTCATTGCCCTTAGGTGCGCCAGACTATCTCACGCTGAAGGTTGAAGAGCCACTTGGTTGGTGGATTCGATATAGTGCTTGCTCTAAATAAAGCTCTGTGCACAGAAAATTTGCTTGCTAAATAATTATGTTTTCAACATGCATCGTTAAAATCTCCAGGTTTGTATAGCGTCATGATCACTAAGGCGACAAAAGCTAAATAAGATGTCAAATAACTCAAACATTGGCTGTCAACAGAACTGCAATTTTCTCAGATAGGGAATAATTGACCAATTCTACGCGCGCGCTGGTAACTGGAGTAGCTTTTCTAGCTTCACCGGGCAGAGTGGCGAGTGAAGAAGGTAGGTACTAAAGCCATTTGGCGATCGTCGGTACTTTGCATGGAACTTTAAATACAAATCTACCTTACAGTTAAGGGTAGCTATCAATGACCACAGAGCCCGCCCTTGGTGAAGATCTGTTTAACATGAGTCTTAACATCATTCTAATAGCCGTCGCACTAATATAATCACTGGATCTACGAGGGGAACCGCCCTTAAGTGCCGTATCGGTTGCGTCGTCTCAAGACTTTGTGTCATTTATGTATTTTGGCTTTGGTTCTTGTAAGTACCTAAATGATAAGGCAATGACACCTTGAGGCTGCCCCTATATGTAGGTATATTATGCAGTTGATTTGTGAATCTAAACGTCAAACGTCAAATTCAAAGTCCTCCAAAGCCCGTGCGTAGACTTGTTAAGTTGTACTCACATTGTACCTTTAGAGTTCCATAACGTTGTTTCCATTCCACTCAGAAGACTGTCAGTCTGTCGCTGTACCTCTTGCTTCAATAATTGAGTATTTTAGTTCAGTAATGTTAGGAGCTTAGCCATCGTCGTGTGGAGACAGCTTTAGGGGCTGGCTAGTTTACTTTGCCATTCCGTCAATCAATGCCTGGCTTATTGGTCTAATATTACGGTTCTATTTTGGGCTGTAAAAATAAAGAGGCCCCCAGAATTGCAGTCGATATTAACTCTTGGCCTACGACGCGAAAGCTCAGCCAGTGGATGTCTACTTTTATTAATTAATGGAACCACCCGAGTGGAGAGCGAACAAAAAAGCTTTGCAAACACTCTCAGTCTGAGTCTGTTCAATAATTTTACTTGTAGTTCTCGAAGCATTAATGATTTCACAAAAAATAAATTTTATTATCAAGCAAATATTTTATTACGTTATTGATACGAATACCAATTAGGTGAAGCTCTACAGAGAGTAAGCCTCAAGTCATTAATTAGGTATTTTTAATATTCTTATTACTATGGCTGCCAGAACGATGTTCGCATTATATCTTAGACACAATTTAGCTTTGGGAGCATTAAAAAAAATCTGTTGCTAATTCATGAAGTCAAGCTTTTGAGAAATAACTTTTGTACAAATGATCAAGACAAAAAAGATGGATAAAAAATAAACTGACATTCTTTCCGGGAAAAAATCTAATGTTAACGAATTTGGGATAGTAGTCGGAGTTGACTGTTTAAGTTTCCCCAACCTACTACACGTAAACTTTGACGATTGACGTCATTCCTCTTGCTTCACTTTTACACGTGCCCCTATGCCGTTATTTTGATGACATCTTCGCCTCGTTTGGACGTAAAAATATGATTTATTACATCATGGCATACATGTCCTTAATTTCCAGACGAACGCCACACGGGTCGATAACTTGATTGTGTACCGTCAGCAGATACGTACCTGGGAGATGAAGCTTGTGTATCTTGAATTTGTGACGGAGTTTGCACACACTTACCTGCAATAGAAATAAATAAAATTAGTACATGTTACGATATGCTGTAGTCTAATATTATAGATCAGATATTGGCTCTATTACACACGGAATAGCTATATTTTTGCGGGATGAATATCGATATAAGCCTATTAATTCAGTGCCGTGTATGAGCCAAATCAACCAGTTTTTGTTTTTACTTTCAGCCAGCATTTTACCTATGGCAAACAATACATGATTATTTAAATCTATTATTCTTATCAATATGGCGCAAGAGCCTCAAATCGCTTCCTAATTGCTAACATTTTGATTCCGACCGTACGTATGCGTACGCGCAACCTGTCGAAAGCTCTAATAGCAGTTTTCTTATCGCGGCCGCGGCGAAATTGCATCAGACTGGTCCCGTCCGGCCTGATGCAGGCTTGCGCCTAATTGCAATCTGAATTATGGAAATCTAAGCAATCCAGTGTCGTTTGATAGGAATTTTGTTAGCTTGACCGCAACGGCAATGTATAATCAGTGCTGCGTTGACACAACGCTGATAGTGTCACCCTGTTTTCAAGCCAAGTTTTTGACCAACTTCAAAAAGGAGGAGGTTCTCAATTGAGTTGTTTTTTTTTATTTAGGTAGGTATATGGGCTTGCTTTTGATACTAATCTCACCCGTGGGTCCAAAAAATCCGATGGCAATATTGAGCCGCTACATGTAATTTGTTAGATTTTACCTAATAATAGATCTGATGAAAATCATCACCTAGTCTATCCACCTACTTTATTTTCGTAATATCAAACAGTCCCTATTATGTGGAAAATCTTCATTATTTAATGTAGTTCACGTCTGTATTTGGGACAAATACCAAAACGGAACAAATATTAGAAGCAGCGACCTGATCGAACTCACGGAAAATTAATGTAAATGGGTTGATATTTTCATTTGTATTTGAAATAATGGCGCCTTAAATACTAACATAGGTAAACAATTTCAATTTACGCATCTTCCACGCATCTCTTAGTAAACAAGTCTTATCGATTTCTGCGCAGGATTGCATCAGTGCGATCGCAGTAAACTGTTCTGCGCATTTATCATCCTTTATCTCATCGGAATAAAACGGGACAAGTAATTTGAAAGCTTGATTCGTACGAATTACGGAATTCTACCCTTGGTGGAATTGATTGGACCAGTGTCCTTCTGACAGAAAGTGACGTTTACAGTCAAAGGATGTCAAATTTAATAAATACGTAAGTATTTTGTGCAACGATAGCTATAGATTTAATTTTATGAATTCCAATAATGGAGTTGATTGTCGTTGATGTCATCTATATTATTTTTATCTAAACTAAAACTATATGCCTATTTTTGTCCAAAATTACTAACAATAAAACGTAGATAATGTACTTTAAGTCTAATTTTTTTTTGTTCACCAATATTATTGTGGTAATATTGCAGAACTGAATAGATTAGGTATTATAGTTATTTACCTAATAAAAGACGACGAGACGTAGATTGGAAATAGGCAACCCAATCGATAGGCAACCCACTTTGAACTCTATAATTAGATCAATCAGACGTTATAGAGCTTGATTCTGAGTATAATAACAATAGCATAAAAGTGAACAAGATTACTTCTTTCTTGACGTAGATTTATTTAGCGTTTGTATAAGCACGCGTATGTAATTTCTCTAGTAAATTCAATAAATTTACCAGGCAAAATATTTTCCAAAGTTGAAAGAATATTGTTTGGTATCTTCTCCGAAATTAGTTTTATGGTTCAGAATTTGAAAAATACTTTTTGCTTTGATTTATTATATCTCAAACAAGCTTTTGTGAACAACGAAAAAATCAAAGTAAAAAAAAAACCTACCTAAATTCGCAACTATATTTTGAGTCAATATCAAACTGTTTGGCAAAGTTACCCAGATTGGCTGTACCTAGTCTATGTATTAGCTTATGTGAGATCTACCTACTTAAGGCTTCAAATAAAAGTCTCACCGACGCATGAGCAACATTGCATCAGAGTGTAATCATACTTAAACAGGACTGGATTCGCAAGTCAAAACTCGACCTTCATCTTCGCGGAACAAAAAAGCAGTTTGTGAAGAATTCTACTGCAACAAACGCGTGCCATTGCCTTTTGGTCAGGTTATACTTTTTACCCGGTTTTGGGATCCAAATTGAGGATAACGAGCTTTTAACATCCTGGAATTCGTTCCATTCTCTGATCATGGGCGAGAATGTATAGGGTAAGTAAGAAACTGACTGTTTTTCTTCAATATTTTTATCATAAGTAAGTAGTGACTGCTGCGTAATAAATTACTAGGTAAGATTTTGTTTACTTAGCTTAGCGCACTTTTAAATATATTTTACTAGCGGCCGCCCGCGACTTCGTACGCGTGGATCCTGTTTTACCCCCTTTTCCCGAATTTTCTTTGCTATAAACCTCACGGAGCCCG